GGGTTTGTTAAAAACAGATCATGCTGGACACATCTTACTGCATTCTTTGTCCCAGTTACAAAATTAGTGGACTAGAGGAATGCTGTGGATATAATTTTTGGGACTTCAGTAAGGCATTTGATAAAGTTCGTATAGGGTTTCCTGCCTGAGCAGGGGGTTGGACTAGATGACCTCCAAGGTCCCTTCCAACTCTATTATATATTATTAAATGCAAGAGTGAAATCTTTCTAGCAGATGAACTTAAAACATTCCCTCCTGCTAACTTTGGGTTGTTCTTAAGAGTACACAGAGAGAAAGAGGAAAACAAACAAACAAACAAACACATTTTTCTTCACTCTGTTTGTTGGCCAGACAAACAGAGTGAGGTATTTCCTTTTTTGTGGCTTATTTTAAGCAGATTTTCTAGCAGAATTTTAAAATTCTTTTCTCTTTGGATTTGAAACAGTTAATAGTCACATTTACCTTACACACAAAGACTTTGACATATATACACAAAGACAAGGAAAACAGAAAAGGAACCAGAAGTCTTAGTTTTACACATCCTAGTCATTCCCACCATAAATTTCAGATAGCTCAAATTAGGGAAGGCACACATTTTAAACATACCACGTGGTTGCATAGAGAGAGAGAGAAAGAGAGAGAGAGAGAGAGAGAGAGAGTCACTATCTTATTTTCCCTTTTAAGTACCTTTATTTAGCCAAATTGGTTTCCCAGTTTCATCCTTCAGCAAAGGATTTTCCTAGCTCGTTTCCAGGACAGGCACCTGCCTCTCGTCCCATGCTTCGAGCAAATCTCTAATTGGTGTTTTAATTTCAACCCTTGAACTGCAGCTACCCATGTTCCCCTTCCAATGTGGGGTCCAAACTTGCTCAGTCTGGTTTCTTTCCCATTAGCAGCACTTCCCAGCCGCTCTTAGTGACAACAAACCTGCTGCCCCGCCTCAGTTTTTGGGCACTAAAAAATTGCCCAGGAAGGACTCCAGTCCCTACATGGAGTAAGTGGCCCTTCCAGTTTAGGGACTCTCTACCGTCACTTTGCAGACCTCAAAAATACGTTGTCTGAGGAGGACCTGCCACCGCAGGTACCCGGCCTCCATTCACACACCGCCTATCAGTTTTCGGACTTAGAAGAAGTCTGTGAGGACCTATGCTTTGTGCACTAGTACGGGCCCCTCATATTGGTGGGCTTTGCTTACAGGGCCTTACCAGCTGGTTACCCAAATCCAATTCTCTCATTCACTCATTCCATTCCATTTTCACACAGCCTCTCCCTTTTCCTTAACAAAAGGTCCTACACTCTGACCAAACCCCCATGCTTTCCAGGTTCTGCCAATTAAACAGATCCTTTCTGTGGCTAGGAAAGACCAGAAGGAGCAAAATCCAACTGTGATTGGGGAAAAAGGGTCTTCTCACTCACACACACAGACATACACACATTTTCTTTGTTCCCCTGGGCTTTAAACTTAAAATTTAGAGGTACTCACCTTCACCTTCTTTCCAAAGCAGCCCTTGAGCTCAAACTCTCAAAACTCCCTTTACTACCCTGGCTCCACATGGGCAAGGCCTGGGAAACCCATCCACAGACACAAGGGGTCTGCTGCCGGCAAGATGGGGCTTACCAGTCTCAGTCCATTGGAGAGGTTAGCTTGGAGTCCCATCTCTGGGGTGCCAAATTGGCAGAAGTAAGTCTTCATCCTGGTTCATCCAAGCCAGGAATAAATAAGCAACATGGCGACTGCTTTGGGAAGATGGATACAGTTTATTGAAGAAGCAATAATCTGTATCTTTTCTTCAGGAAAGAGCAGAGCAGAGAGGAAGGCTGAGCACATGGGCAGTAGCTTTTTATACCCTCTCTAGCTTTTTGTTTGGAATATTTTCCTCTTCCTGTGGCATGAACTTTGAACTGAGTCTGAGTGCTTTTCTAGGCCTTAGTATCTGTGGTTCAGTCCTATTATGTCCCAAAAGTCATCTCCTGCTTCCCTGGGGGCTGGGCTAATGACTCTTAAGAGTTTCTTTGTCTTCTTGAGCTTCCTGGCTCCAACCTTCCTGATGGTCTTACATTTGCATTTGTATAGGGCTGGCTCCTGCTTGGGGCAAAGAGATGAGGCCAGGGTTGGTTTTTGCTTTTCAAAAAATGCTTTTAAAAATCTTTTTGGTGAAAAATATATTTTCCTGCCCTTTTAATATTTCCTTCTTTGCGCTAACTTCCCTCACCACTTTCCATTTTTTTGTACTTATCCTTTCTGTCTTTCAGTTTATCAGAGAGATTTTTGTGCAATCATGCTGGTTTCTTCTTGGATTTCTATTTTTCTTTTTTAGTGATATTGTGTTTGACTGGGCTTCCCATGCTTCTTGAGTTGTTTTCCCATTTAGAATTTTCATCCATGGAATTTTTCTTAGGCTCTTTCTGAGTTTGTTAAAATCAGCTCTTGTAAAGTTTAAGATACTTGTTGGATTATATTCTATTGCTTGTGTTTGCATTATATTGAATTGCAATGTGATGCGAGTCACTCTTGCCCAAGGTTCCTGTAATTTCAGCTTCCTCTATCGCTTCTTCTCTATTAGTGAGAATTAGGTCCAGTATAGTTTTTCCTCTAGTTCCTTCCTCTATCTTTGAGATGACAAAGTTGTCAGCTAAATTGGCTACTTACTGCCTAATCAATCTTGGTATGTTTTAAAATGATTTTCAGGGAAAGCCATCAATGTATCTAATTATATAAAGTGGAATTTAATTTAATTAGTTTTACATTCACATGCCTGCATTTGGCTGTAATAACAGTTTGGAGATTTGCAATCATAGCTCATTAACTGGAATATTATTAGACTACCATAAAGGTGTTCTTACATACATAATGAAATGTGTAAGAGATCTTGGGAACACAGAGGAGACAACAAGACAGTTAAGGGGGAAAATATTGGCATTTACAGAAAAGATATTGAGTCCAGAGGAGATAAAATGTGAGAAAGAGATTCAGAATTATTCAAAGCTAGGTAAAAGTTATGCAGGAGAATTATTCTGGCAGGTATTCAAGATTCTGTTATATTTGTTAAACATATGTACATGGTCATCCATCTACCAAATGGATACTCTGGGTAAGGAACAAGAAAACTTGATTAATTGGTTATGTGCCATTAAGTTATTTTCAACTTCTAACAATCATATAGGTAAAGTTTCCTCATGAAAACACATCATTAAAAACCATTAAAGCAAAAAAGACAATATTGAGCCCCCAATAAACTTTGCATGCTTTTTTCTGAGATATATAAATATAAATCACATATAAATGTAATTAATAAATAATCCACAGAGGCATTTCTATATTACCACTGTCCAGTTACAGCATTGACTTCAGTACCAAGCCTGCACCTTTTTCTTGAACAGGGACCTCCAAGCTGGCAACTTGTAAGACTTGTCGACTTCAACTCCCAGAATTCCCCAGTCAGCATGGTTGGCTGAGGAATTCTGGGACTTGATGTCCACAAGTCTTAAAGTTGCCAAGGTTGGAGACCCCTGCTCTAGAGGATTTCTGAAACTCAGTAAGTAGCAAATGGGTTTTATTTAGGGGCATATGAAAATGTAACTGGAACAGATCAAATGCTTATGTCATCTAGTATTCTGTTCTCAAAGTAGCAACCAAATGACAATGCTTTTTCATTATTCTCTCTACAGGGAGAGATGACTTTTATATAACTGGTCTGGAAGAAATTTCCTGATACAGAGCATGCTTCCACTTGTCATTTCTCCTCTCTTGCCATTGTTTGGATATATCTTTCTAGATTATCCAATTCAAGGGATTTCTGCAAGGATGGTAAAAAAAAGAAATCAATATGGCAACCAGAATGGTGTGATCAAAACTCTCCTGGTGTTATGTAGGCTGTGTAATATAGAATATATGTTGGCAAATATCTGGAAATGTTTTGCTCTGGCCTTCAATCAACACCTTTAGATGTACCTGCTAAAATCTTTCAAATGTCAAGGCTCCAGGTTAGACAGGGAAATTAAGAAAATATCTCAGAGATAATGACAAACCACTTTGGTATAGACATGTCCATATTTTTGTGCCTACAACAATAATGTGGGATGTAACCACTTGATGCAAAATTTGGCCATTATTGCCACTGCCATTGGGAAGCACTGTGACTTGCCTCCAGTGCAGGAAGTAATATGTACTTATTAACCAATTCAATACAATATATATAACACATTAATTTCATAAAATATCAGTGTCCTAAAGTAATTAATGCTTTGATTTTGCAGATTCCCACATACCTGTTTTGAATGTATAAACTACTGATCTTTGATTGTATTAAATATGGTCTCTATCATAACAAATAACAAATATTATGAAGACAATGTAGCATTTTCTCAGCATTTACTGCTTTCTTCTGAGTTTGTAGAGCAACATGCACAGAAAAGTAAAACAAATGAGGCTCTTCTACTTGATCTCCTGGATAACCCATTTTTTTGCATAGGATTATACATACTGTATATGCATGCATACTCCTGATTTAAATGACTGATGATATGACACAAGACGGGTATCCTTTTCTTCCCACCACTTTTGATGCCAAAGCTTTTAATGACAAATTATTCTGGGTAAAGAATTGGGAACAGTAACTTAGAAGGAACCAAAATCCCTCTTTGCCATCAAATTTGTGAAGGAAAGTAGGCTTTGACCCTTGAAATGAGGAAGAGCTAAATGAACTATTAAGGGAGAAGGAACTTCAGAAAAGATTACTCATTTCTAGGAAAGAAGAATGTGTGTGTGGGGGGGCTACAGATTTGATAAGGAAGCAACATGATATTTCCAAGGATTTAAAGAAATTAATAGTTGGCAAAACCATCATCTAAGAACTTAACCATAACATTTAAACAAGGCCACAAATGATGCAAGGGTGTGTGTGTGTGTGTGTGTGTGTGTGTGTGTGTGTGTGTGTGTATGTATATATCCCCAAGTAATATTGTAATTTTATGTATTGGTGGGGAATAGTAAGACTTACAGCTTTCAATTTCCAGCGTGCAGTTTTGTTCATCCAAAGGATATCTGCGTAAATCCATCATGCAGGCAGCTGTGGTAGTAATCCTAAAAAAAGCAGGGAAAGGGAAGAAAGTATAGTTCAGGAAGGATCTTTATGTCAAACACTTGGTGAAAAATTGGTCAGATATTTTGTATTTAGATTCCATATTTTTGTTCAGAACTGAAAGTGACATTTCCTTGTTTGCGAGGAATCCAGATAAATCAATGGTAAACTGTCTTGAAAGCCTTTCTTTCATATTAAAAATTGGTCATAAACAGGTAATCATCCATTTAGCAACCATTCAAAGTTACAACAGCACTGAAAAAAGTGACTTACAACTGATCCCTGCACTTATGACTGTTGCAGCATCACATGATAAAAATTGGGAGTTTAGCAATTGGCATGTATTTATAATGGTTACAGGGTCTCAGATTCATGTGATCACCATTTGCAACCTTCCCAGCCAGCTTCCAATAAGCAGTCAATGGGGGAAGCTGGCTTCACTTAATGCCCTCATGATTCACTAACAATTGCAGTGATTTGCTTAATAACAGAAATTTTGGTCTCAGTTGGAATTTCTATTTAATGAATCTACACGGAATCTTTTAGTTCCTTATAACCAAGATGGACAACCAATTAGTTCATACTGTGTTGTGTCATGTTTGGATTATTGTAACAGTCATTTTCCAGGTTATCCAAGATGCCATTTTACTCTCCAATCTATGGCCAGAATGCTGCTGTTCATATTATAACTAGGTATATATGGAAGATACCATGTGAGTCTCTGGAGATGGCACATCGTGCTTTGCCCAGGTGCATCTCCAGTTTTTTAAAGTCCTGCTACTGGCTCATAAGTTTGTGCAATAGATCCAATTACTGTGTTAGTGTCAACTGATTCTCTAGCATGCTAGAATAACAATTATTGAAGGAAAAGTCTTCATCATGGTTCAGTCCAAGCCAGGAATAAACAACATGGCAACTCTTTAGAAAGAAGGTTGCAGTTTATTGAAGAGGAGAGCCAGACAGAAAGATGGCTCTGGAAGAAAAGAGAGAGTGTGTCAGAACCCATATCTATCATATTGCATACTTCCCTGTCTCTCTTTCTCTCGTCTCCTGATTCCATTCTCTTCTCTCCCTGGGTTCTGCCATACTCCTAGAGGGGACGGGGGACGGAGCATGGGTTTATTGCCTTAGCTTCCTCTATTGATACAATGCTTCCCTCTATTTGCTTCCCTGCCTCCTTTCCCTATTTCTACAGTGTAACATTTCACCTTAGCTTCCTTTATTGCTGCAATGTAACACCTCGTGCTCCTGCACTGTATCTGTCTCTGAACTTTCTTCTCCCTAACCTGTCAGCTAGGAAAATGGGGGGAGAAAGAAATACAACTTCTGGAGCCTGGCTTATTTCTCCTCTCTCAAAAAAAGGTGTGAAGAGCCGTTTGAACATCGCGCCAGGATCAGAGCCAGACCGATGTTATCTTTCCTTTCCCATAATGGACTTAACACCTGGGGATTGGCCGGTTTGAACCATCCGGGGTGGGGTGGGGTTTGCTTGGAGATACTTAAACCCATTGATCTGTACAGGAGTCCCTCAGATCCTGTCTAGTATGCCTGCCATCAGCTTCTCCTAATAAAAGTTCCTTTTGGAAGAGCTTGCTTCCATGAGTTCTGCTTTCTTGGGATGAGGTGTTGAGGTGGGTCCTGACATTAGACAGGATCTGCAATAGTAGTCAACCCGGAAGGACGGACCTTGCCGGGGGACTCTGCAACATCTACCATGTCAAACAAAGGTGTGGAGAAGGAGGAAGCTACCGTGAAAGGGGAGCCCTCCCTTCGGTCAGAACCCTGCCAACTGTCCAACTCTGAGATGTCCTATACCTCGGAGGAAGAGGTGGTGGAGACGCCCAGCCATAAACCTCGCTGTATCATGAGCGTAGGCAAAAAGGACGAGTGGGGAAAAAATTGAGAAAGGTGACGCTGACAAGAGATGGAGAGATCACTACACCTCAGTGAAGGTGAGGACGATCGCAGGAAGCAGTAGAACTGGATTCTGGAGAAGGTGATCGACCTAATGAAATCAACCCTTGTCTCCCTCAAGGATGAAAAGCTCGAGCCCCGCGGCCGCACCGTTAACATGAACTTCAGCACAAGAGACACCGATGGGGAGTCCGACGTTGAAACCCCAGGAACATCTGGTGGGGCAGCCAAGACCGCAGCTGTCATGGGGCCAGCCCTCACTCCCCGCTGTGCAGCAGCTGCTGATCGAGATGGACGACACCACAGATGATGTGGACACCGATCCATTCAGAAGTTCCCACTGCTGGATGTGAAGTTTTGGGGAGAGCTGCAGCGCCTGGGGTTCTTCTTAACCCAAGTCCTCAACTACATGGAAGAATACGGCCAAGACATCCCAACTGACAAGGCTCAGATCCGCATGATACAGGTGGCCCTGGACAGCATGACAGCTCATTGGGTGGTGGACCTACACAACTCCGACACCCCCGAGCTCCAAAACTTCAACCAATTCATGTTCTCCCTTAGACAGCGATTCGAGGACCCATTGGCAGACTGGAAGGCCTGTGAGAAGATTAAGATGGTGAAGCAAGGCAGGCGCCCAGTGGCCGAGTACACCCAGGAGTTCCGAGCCATTGCCAGTAAGTTGAATTGGCTGGAAGACATCCTGCTTAGCCACTTCAAGGATGGACTGAATTACGATCTCTACGATGCCTTTCTTCCCCAGGGAGACCCACACTGATTGCACAATTGGTACATCCTGGCAGAGGAAGCTGAAATTGACCTACTCAAGAGACATCACCAGGGAAAGCCATGGAACCGATCACCCCCTGAGCCACCACGTGAGCCTGAAAAGTCTCAACCCACAGCTAAGAAAACTGCTGGCTGTTTCAAGTGCAGGAAGGAGGGACATTGTGCCACAGAATGCCGCTCGAGGAACCCCCAGGAGAAGGCCAAATGGACACCAGCCGGGAGATCGGGAAGGTCACCCACCAAGCCGTGAGAGCCATGCATGAGGGGCACCAAGGCTGTTGAGTTCCCCCCTCTACCCAATGGGGAAAAGGGACCCCGGCCTACACTGCAGGATTGTCTGACTCACCAGACGACCACTCTGAAGATGAAACCCTGGTAAGTGGACCCATCACACCCCTCATACAGACAGTGACTATCCTATCCCTCTCAATGCCTGAAGCTGTGAAGGCTAAAGCCCTACTAGACTCTGGCTGCATGCGTTGTCTTATTAGCCCAACGCTGGTGGGAACCCTAGGCATTCCGGTGAGGAGGCTGAAGAAACCAATATCCTTTGGTCAATTAGATGGGTCCATAGCAGGGGGAATGCCAGCTACTCTAGCCATGCTACTGATCCACCTTACTCATGAGAAGACTATAACATTCATGGTGACCCCAGGCATGGAGTGCCCAATAATACTGGGGTTGGCATGGCTAAAGAAATGGAACCCCATGGTGGACTGGAGGACAGCAGAACTCAGGTTCCCAAAAGGGGACTGAATGGGATCACCACTCCAGGGAGCCCCCAAGAGCTCCCCTCTGGAAAGAGCAGCAATGGGGGAGGAAACTGCATTGCCCGAAATACCCGAGGAGTACAAGGACGGAACAGGCGGACGAGCTACTCCCCCACTGACCCAAAGATGGTGCTATAGAAATCAAGCAGGGAGCAAAGCTCCCGAAGCCTAGACTGTACTCCATGAGCCCCGAGGAGCTACGAGAAATGAAAAAAAATGTAGATAAAAATTTAGAGAGAGGCTTCATTGAGCCAGCTTCCTCAAAGAAGGTAGCAACCCCCGTCCTTTTCAGGGATAAGAAGGACAGCATGTGTATATGCGTGGATTACCGCGCCTAGAATGCCATAAGCAAAAGCAACCTGTACCCTCTCCCCCTCATGAAAGACATGCTGTCCCACCTCTCGAAGGGAAAAATCTTCACAAAACTAGACCTAAGGGAAGCCTATTATCACATTAGAATTAAGGAGGGGGACAAGTGAAAAACAGTGTTCAACTGCCCTATGGATTGCTACCAATTTAAGGTCTTGCCATTTGGGCTGCAGGGAGCCCCACGGTTTTCATGCAGCAGATCAATGAGGTACTGAGGGAGCACCTATATAAAGGGGTCCTCATCTACCTGAATGACATCCTTATATTTACAAAGACTAAAGAGGAGTACATAAAATTAGTCAGGGCAGTCTTGAAAAAATTGGGAGCAGCCAACCTCTATGCAAAATTGTCCAAATGTGAGTTTCACAAACAGAGAATTGACTATTTGGGCTACCGCATATCAACCGAAGGCATAGAGATAGACCCCGAGAAGGTCCGGGCAGTGTTAGAGTGGGCACCACCCCGCATGAGGAAGCAATTACAAAGCTTCCTGGGGTTTGCTAACTTCTACCGTCAATTCATCCCTTCTTTTGCACAGTGTAGCGTGGCTGTCTGAGAGCGTTTGCAGGAGCTTGGCTGGGAAGGGAGAGATTGGGACAGTTGTTGCTGGTTTTGGGTGTGGTAGGGGTGGAGGAAGGAAAAGGATAGAAAAAGGGAAGGAAGGAAAGGGAAGGGGTGGCTGTTGGAGTTTGTCAGGTGAAGGTAAAGAGGGATTGGAGGTTTTAAACTGACCCCTTTGTGTGGAGGAGGGGGAGAGAGAAAGAGAAAGAGAGAGAGAGAGAATTGTATTGCTTTCTTTCATGAGAAGGATATTTCAAATGGAGGCAAGAGAGAGTGAGAGAGAGGGAATGGAATTTTATTGCTTTCCTTCATAAGGAGGATATCTCAAACGGAGGCAAGAGAGAGCGAGAGAGAGAGTGTGTGGAAAGGAAGTGGCTGGGGCTGTTTGCCTGGGACTTTTAATAATAGATAGGGGGGGAGGGCTTTGATGCTGAGACCTGACGGAGAAGAAGCAACAGAAGAAGAGGAGAGATTGGTCGTAACTACTGTTGCTGTGAAGCCTGGAGGCTACCTGGACTGTGACTACTGCTGCTTGTACAAGTTTAGACTTTGTGGGGGAATTGCCCTGGGGGGGGGGGGCGAGCCATTACTACAGCACG